TGAATCACATATGAGTTACATGTGATTCATATGTAATTTACATATGAATCACATGTAATTCATAAGTAAATCACAAGTGATTCACATATGAATTACATGTGATTCACATTTGATTTACATGTGATTTATATATGATGTCATATGTAAATGTGCTTCATATGTGAATCGCATGTGATTAATATGTTAATCACATGAAAATCACATATGTATTTTTGTGAGTGTTTTTGCATCAATTAGTTAATTCACATATAAATCACATGTAATTCATATGTGAATCATTTGTGATTCATATGTAAATCACATATGTATTTTTGTGAGTGTTTTTGCATCAATAATTTTTTTTTTAATTTTCTTGTAGATTTGAAAGAAATTGTAGTGAATATTGAAAAGGTGAAAAATGATAAATTGAAGAAAATAAGGAAATATTGACACGAAGACATGAAAACGCTTTGAAATTTACAGCATTTTTTATTTTTTATATTTTATTTTGTAACGAATAAAATACTTGTACTATTATGTTTATAGATTAATTAATAAAAATAAGATCTTTTGTGATTTACTTACGAATATTATAGTATAAGAAATATAAATATATGCATTTGAAAAAATATGCATATATGCATCTAAAATTTACTTTTTAAAAAAAATGCAGTTTTTTTGAAAAATTTGTAGTCTTTTTCTAAATGCAGCTTTTTTTTTGAAAAAAATGTAACTTTCTTTAAAAAACTTGTAGTTTTTTTTGAAAAAAACTGCTTATATTTGTCAAATTACCAAAAAGGAGTTCCTTTTATATTATGAAGTTTAGACTTAAGTTTCTTTTTTTGATGTATCAGCATCAACAAGATTAACATTGTTGGTGTCCATAACCTAAATTACAGTCCATTATCATGTAAGCATCTTAAGAATTTCATTCAAAAACAAAAGAGGCATGCACCTTCAAACTGTTACAGAATTGAACAAACACATACACTTTCAAATTGTTCCAGTTATCATATAAGCATCTTAAGAATAACATCTAGGTTCAATAGAAAATTGAAGAACAAACACATACACAATTGGCCTTTGTAATCAGTTTTCATTTCACATTCAAAGGTATTTCATTCAAAATCAGTTCTCATTTCACATTCAACTTCAAATCAAAAAAATCGACAGCAAGGAAAATTAATATCATGAACCAGAAAACAGATACCAAAAAATCGACAGCTCCTTTGTCAAAAAAAAAAGAGAAACATGAAATACAAATCTTAACATATTAGATTTTAATCTCTACATTTTATATATGGAATCAATTCAGTATACGATTTTTTGAGTTCCAATTCAATTCAGTATAAATATCGATTGAAAATTCAGAGAACCAAAAAATTAATCTAACAGATACAGAAAACAGGGAAAAGATGAAGATCGACAGAAGCACAAATCGACAGCAAGGAAAAAAACACGAATGAAAGCAGACAGAGAAAGACGAATGCAGACAGTAGGAACAAACACGAACCTGTGCGGTCGAAGGAAAAATCGACAGCTCCGGTGTTGCTGTGGGCTGCGACGATCTCCGGCCGGTGGCGACGAGATGGCTAACGGCGGCGAGCAGGGGAGGATCGCTTGAGGAGTCAACGACAGGAGCAGACGATCGTCGTTGGAGGAGGCGTATGTGATATGCTGTATAAGGTTATTAGGTTAACAGTATATTTACAAATGGTGTAAACAATCAGTTTAATGGTGAAATATTGGTTAATTTCTTTAAACGGTGAAATAAAGAGTTTTTTAATAAGGAACTAGAGGGGTTACCCGCGCGTTGCGCGGGGCTGAATGATGAGAAAGTTTGCTTTCAAACAATTGTTGCTGCTCTTGTTTAGGTGACATGGAATGATGAGAAAGTTTGCTTTCAAACAATTGTTGCCGCTCTTGGAAACTTCTATGCTATGCATCCACATCTATTGCCAAATCCATCAGGTGAAGGAGTTTCAGATTTTTATAAAAGACAAGGGAAAGGAAATGTTTCAGGAGGTACGTTTTTTTTGCACTCTAAGTTCCTTTAACTTGTTTCATCTGTGTACATTACATCCATTTTTGAGTTAAAAGACCTTAGAAGGGATATTTGAGAAAATGCAACTACAAAACTAAATACCCCTCAACCTTTCCCATTCAAGGTCCATCTCCCTCGTTTTAGTGGAAGTAAGGATTTCACAGGGGGATTTTCGGCACAAATGCAAAAGATAGGGATATATTTTAGAGAGGGCCATTTTTTTCTATTGTTGCGTTGTACTTTCAAAAAATTCAGTTTGAAAATACAAAAAGTAATTGATATATTTGAAAGTTTGTGTAGAACAATATAATGTGATTTCTAAACAAAAATATTAATGCTAGAAAATATTGGTGCTTTATTTTTGAGTTTGAAAAAGAATAGGTTACACTTCAAAGAACTTCTGTTATGACTTTTTCACATGGAAACTCTTATGTATATTAAATCAACTCTGCTTTTATGGAACAACAGCTTCAAACCATCAATTGCTACTTCGTTCTCTGGAAGAATGCAAGTTTTCAACAAATTCAACATATGTTATTGGTGCTTTATTTTTGAGTTTGAAAAATAATAGGTCCTATTTTTCTAAATGGATCTCTATTATTTATGTGTTGGCAGTGATGAATTTAATGTGAATCATAAATATACTAATGCATATTTGATTCATATAAAAGTATAGTGCAGTGGTTAATCTGGTTCTCATAATGAACAAATATATGTTTTTATTGGTGTGATTTAGTTAATTAGCTGTTATGATTGGCTAATCTGGTTCTGAATTCTGTGTGATATTGTGAAGAACTTAGATCTGTTAAGTACTAACTCTTGTTAGATAATGTTTTGACCTTTTTCAGGTTGAGTGGTCTGGATGCCATTAGTCTTGGAAATAAAGTAGAAGAGGGACTTATTGCTGTTGATCCTAACCTTTCATCTTTAGTTTTATGTGGTAAAGATTTTTGTGATGCAAATGGTATAAAAAAAAACAATCACAAGTGAATGACATATGAATTACATGTGATTCACATGTAATTCACATGTAAATCACATATGAATTACATGCGATTCACATGTAAATCACATATGACTTACATGTGATTCACATGTAATTCACATATGAATTACATGTGATTCACATGTAAATCACAAGCGAATCACATATGAATTACAAGTGAATCACATATGAATTACATGTGATTCACATGTAATTCACATATAAATTACACGTGATTCACATGTAAATCACAAGTGAATTACATATGAGTTACATGTGATTCACATATGAATTACATGTGATTCACATGTAAATCACAAGTGAATCACATATGAATTTCAAGTAATTCATATATGATTCACATGTAATTCACATATGAATTACAAGTAATTCATATATGATTCACATGTAATTCACATATGATTCACTTGTGATTCACATGTAAATCACAAGTGAATCACTTATGAATTACATGTGATTCACATGTAAATCACAAGTGAATTACGTATGAGTTACATGTGATTCATATGTAATTTACATATTAATCACATTTAATTCACAAGTGATTCACATATAAATTACATGTGATTCACATGTAATTCATATGTAAATCACAAGTGAATCACATATGAGTTACATGTGATTCATATGTAATTCACATATGAGTTACATGTGATTCATATGTAATTTACATATGAATCACATGTAATTCATAAGTAAATCACAAGTGATTCACATATGAATTACATGTGATTCACATTTGATTTACATGTAATTTATATATGTGTCATATGTAAATGTGATTCATATGTGAATCGCATGTGATTCATATGTTAATCACATGAAAATCACATATGTATTTTTGTGAGTGTTTTTGCATCAATTAGTTAATTCACATATAAATCACATGTGAATCATTTGTGATTCATATGTAAATCACATATGTATTTTTGTGAGTGTTTTTGCATCAATCATTTTTTTTTAATTTTCTTGTAGATTTGAAAGAAATTGTGGTGAATATTGAAGATGTGACAAATGATAAATTAAAGAAAATAAGGAAATATTGACACGAAGACATGAAAACGCTTTGAAATTTATAGCATTTTTTATTTTTTATATTTTATTTTGTATCGAATAAAATACGTGTACTATTATGTTTATAGATTAATTAATAAAAATGAGATCTTTTGTGATTTACTTACGAATATTATAGTATAAGAAATATAAATATATGCATTTGAAAAAATATACATATATGCACCTAAAATTTACTTTTTAAAAAAAATGCAGTTTTTTTGAAAAATTTGTAGTTTTTTTTTAAATGCAGTTTTTTTTTGAAAAAAATGTAACTTTGTTTAAAAAACTTGTAGTTTTTTTTGAAAAAAATGCAGTTTTTCAAAAAAATTACAGTTATTTTGCAAAAAAAATGCAGTTTTTTTTTGAAATTTCAGTTTTTTAAAAAACTTGCAGTTTTTTTTAAAAAATATTTTTTTCAATTTTTTTTTCAAAAATTCATGTTTTTTTATAAAAAATTAAAAATCTGTATTTAAAAAAAAACGAAAAATACTATATTTAAAAAAATCTGAAAATTTGATTTATGATGTAAATTTTTAGACATTTATATTAATATATTAAATAATATAAAAAAATTTAAACATTAAATAAGATTGGTAAGATGACGATCATGTCCTTAATGAATTAATTTTGATCCAATGCTCAACTTTTAGTTCTCGGGTTTTCGGGCATCCACAAGATTTTCTAATACAACTATATTTACACAGACAAAACTTTCACGCAAACAAAATTTAGCGAATAAAAATATAAAGTTAATGAAAGAAGAAGGTCTTTATCACTTAAGATATTTTTTGGTTAAATGAGTTTATATCTTATAAATTATAATATAATATGGTATTATAATTTACGTGGGACCTTTCTCAACTTTAGTCTTATCCCAACTCCTTTGATCAGAGAATCATCAAACTCCGAGCCTCCACGTTGCCATCATCCGCAGGTTCGATCATTGGCTCGTCACCACCCCACCCCTCTCTCTCCCTCACTTCTATACGCTTTTACCTTCTTCTCCATTCTTCTTCCTCACCCCACTCTCTCACCCACACCCACCCAAATTATCGTTTAATCCTGATCGTGATGGGTTTCTATGAGCTTACTTGATAACGAATCATCGGATATATGTCCTTTTTTAGGTTCGATTATCGTTATTTTGTTTAATTTAGTGCTTGTTTTTACTACCACGTTGATCGTTACACAAGCTTCTTGATTCTTTGCTTAATCATTGTTTTGGGTTGTTAATAAACGAAGCAAATTTTATCGATTTCGAAAAACCATGCTTCTTTTTCATTTTTCCCTTTTCTTGAAGCTTGGCGAGTTTATAACAGGGGTGTTTATATTTTTGATCATATATATCTGTTTTCAGGGGTTTTCTTCATTTCTTGAGTATGCTCTTAGGTAACTTATAAAATATAGATAAATAATTCATGTCGTAAATTACAATACCCTGTTTTAACATAAAAACTCCATGTAAAATGATCGGAGAATAGAAAATTTTGGGTCTTAAATGTTTATATTTTCTTCCTGCCATGCCCTCTTTAAAAAAGAAGTTGCAATTTTGACACCTATTTGAAGACGTCAAACTAGATCAAATGTATTTATAAGCTCTAAACTTGAGGGGGTTTTTGGATGTTGGTAAAAAGGTAAAAAGTGATTATGATTATGATTTTCTGTTTGAACTCGCAGGTTAACACGACCTCAAATATTGAATAATCAACATCAGTTTTAGCACCTCGATTCTTTCCTTAGCTTATATAACGTTGAAAACAAAACCTATCTTATCCATGGGGGGAGCTTGTTCTAGAAAAAGAGACCAACAAACCAACGACGACATTGTTCTTGGAGGAGTTTCTAGAAGATATTCCAAAAGTGGAAGCTCAAAATGGCTGGGAACCTCTTTTTCTCGAGCATCTGTAGATAATAAACAAGGAAACACCATACCCCCGTCTCTCATGGAATTATGCATTTATAAAATTTCTCAAGTACGTTATTCATCAACATTTCATTAAGCTCCCTTTTAGTCTTTTCAAAACCAGTGATTTACTGATTTTTACAGGAAATTGATGAGTATGGTACCTTCTCTATGCTTCCGAGAGATATCAGCCAGCAGATTTTTAATGAATTGGTTTACTCTCAACGCCTTAATGAGGCTTGTCTCGAAGCATTTCTAGATTGTGCTTTGCAGGTATATATAATATGATTTCAATGTAGACAAGCATATGATTTAATTTATATATTTTGTTTGGCAGGATATAAACTTGGGTGAATATCCAGGAGTTGATGACACGTGGATGGATGTGATCTCTTCACAGGGATCATCTTTACTTTCTGCAGATCTTTCTAGTTCTGATGTTACAGATTCTGGTTTGTTACATATTAAAGAATGCAAGAATGTCGAGGCTTTAAACCTTAATTTCTGTGAACATATCTCTGATGTTGGGCTTGGATGCATTACAGGTAATCTCTTCAATGTTTCTTTATTGAATTTGAAGGAAAACAATCTTAATATAATTTTTTTTTTTCAGGTCTTTCAAACTTGACAAGTTTGAGTTTGAAGAGGAACACAAGCATCACTGCAAAAGGAATGAGTGTGCTTTCAGAGTTGGTCAATTTGTCAAAGTTGGACCTGGAAAGATGTTCTGGAATCCATGGTGGTCTTGTCCATTTAAAAGGTCTTTTTTTTTTTTTTTTCTTTTTCTTGTACCTCATTTTATTCAATAATCAGAATTAGATAATCAAGTATAATGAATATATTGCAGGTTTAAAAAAGCTCGAGGCACTTAATATGAACTGTTGTAATTGCATTACTGATGCTGATATGAAGCCTCTCTCAGGTAGCTTTCTAATATGTATTTAGATTTTAGACAAGTACACTTCATTATAAACTTGAAAGAATTTAAATATGATGTATTTTTTATGCTGATGATTATGTTTCAGACCTAAGAAACTTGAAAGAATTACAAATCTCCAGTAGCAAGGTCACAGATAATGGTGTCACATTCTTGAAAGGTCACTTGAATTATTTCTAGTTATTTTTACATATTCATTGAAAGATTTTTTCAATGCAAATTAAAATCTAAATCAATTTACTTTTTTTCAGGTTTACACAAGCTTGCATTGCTGAATATGGAACGCTGCCCTATTACTGCAGCATGCCTGGATTCACTTTCAGGTTCATTGTATTTTCTTTTTTGTAATCTCATTATACAACTAGATGTTGACTTTTTTTATTTGTTTTATGTAGATCTTGTTGCTCTACTTTTTCTGAATGTAAGCAGATCTAATATCACTGATGATGGGTGTGACAAGTTTTCAAGTAAGGATCTGTATCTTTATTTATTTTTTTCATTAAAAATCATTAATTTATAACTATGGAGGTCTACTTATGCAGAATTAAAGTCTCTAAAAGTGCTCAACTTGGGATTCAATGATATGTCAGATGCTGTTTTGGCACATCTCAAAGGTGAAATCTCTTAACATTCATGTGTACTTAACAATTAACATACTATTTTTTCCAAAACTTCATACACATAAACTTTTACAAATCCAGGCTTGATAAATTTGGAGAGCTTGAATCTGGATTCATGTAGAATTGGGGATAAAGGATTGGTTCATTTAGCAGGTAATTCTTTTAACTACCATCTTTATATATATTGATGTATCCATATGTTGATAATTTGCTATGTGTGTGTGTGTGTTTTAGGCCTTGTTCGTTTGAAATGTTTGGAGTTATCTGATACAGAAGTTGGAAACAATGGTCTTCGTCATCTCTCTGGTTAGTATATATCCAATCATGATCCAATTTTGTTTGACCCTTGACTTGGATTTGACTTTTACATGATCTTGATTCTTGCAGGTTTAGTGAATTTGGAAAGTTTGAATCTTTCATTCACACTTATTACAGATGGAGGTTTGCGACACTTGTCAAAACTGTCAAATATTAGATCACTTAATCTTGATGTTCGCCAAATCACAGATGCTGGACTTGCAACTCTTACAAGTAATACATTGACCTATTTGACTTTTTTTTTGAAATCCAAGAAATGTTTTTAACTCTTAATTCCTACTTTGTGATGTAGGTTTGACCGGATTGACTCATTTGGATCTTTTTTGCGCGAAAATAACAGACACTGGAACGAATCATCTGCGCAGTATGCTACACTTTTGAATTTAAAATGATTTTTTTTTAGATGTAATCGAGACAACTTATTGATAGAAATTTTTGCAACAGATTTCAAGAAGCTGCGATCCTTGGAGATTTGTGGTGGAGGATTAACTGATGCTGGTGTGAAGAACATCAAGGATCTTAAATCTTTGATGCTTTTGAATCTGTCTCAAAACAGTCACCTGTCTGATAAATCTCTAGAAATGATATCTGGTATTTTGTCATATGATATAATCAGTTTTGTTTTCTTGATTAAATATGAACAACGGATTGATTTGAAGTTTGAACTTTGAAATGCAGAATTGACAAACTTGGTGTCTTTAAATGTATCGAGTTCACGGGTAACAAGTGCAGGATTGAAGCATTTAACAAGTCTGAAGAAGTTGAAATCATTGAGCTTGGAGTCAACTAAGGTGACTGCAAATGATATAAAGAGGCTCCATGAATCCCACCTTTCTGATCTTGTGACTTTTCGGCCTGAGTAGGTGGAAGATGCCATGGGTTTCTGTACATAAAGATTGGTGATGAATGAATGGACTCCATCCATGATTTGTTGAATTGTAAATATGTGTTGTGGGGTTGAAGATGGATGGTATTATGTCATTGTTATGGGATGTCTATTATTGTCTATTGTCTAGTGAATGTGAAGCTTTTTCTTTCATGGATGTGGAAATTGTGATGTAAATAAAGGCATCCTTTGCTACATCTCTTTTTATATTGTCTAGAAATCAATGTGGGTAATGTTCTTGTAAATATTATGGGGATGTTTGTCGTTATTATAAAACAAATTTGTTCACTTGTTATATGTACTACATCTGGTTTGTTTGTTTGTTTACAATAGACAAAAGTAATTGAAGAAAAATAAATCTGAAAACATGCCAGCTGGATAATAAATATCAAGATCTCACAAACAAGGAAAATCAAAATGAAAACCCAATCTTGACAAGTTTTACAACTTTGAGTTGACATTGGATGATTGATGGCAATGGTAACATTCTTGTACTTTGACCATCCGACAATTTAAACCTACGACTTTACACAAACAAGATAAGTTAGAGATCTACATGTGACTAAAAATTTTACATTTTCCAACAAACCAACCAACCAACAAAAATGCTTCGAGTTCCACCAAAACAAGTTGAGGTGAGGTGAGGTCATCTTTGAGCTTGATCCGCACCCGAACCCCCAACCGGTGTAGCCGCTGCATTACTGGTCGAACCGTTTTCAGCCGGTGGTTGAACCCCCCATTTGCTTTCTGACTCAAGCGGCTCAAATACATGAACCACCCCATCTGATAGCCCCAATGCAAATTGATTCGGTTCTTGTGGGTGTGCAGCAATCACCAACGGATGCACATTTGCATTGCTAAAACAAAAATTTTTAAAAATTAAAAAAAGAACAAAGTTTGACTAAAGTCAACGGATCTTTCTTCTTTTTTACCTCGGGACATTGGGAGAAAGATATGCAGATGGATTGATTCGACAACGTAATCGAAGGTGAGAAGCTGTAAAAACACAAACTGTTGCATCCAAGAAACTTGCATACACCAACTGACTATCGCATGAAAACATCGCATGTGATATTGGGGCAGATGATTCACGTGCAAGCCACTGATAATAAAAAGAAGGGTTTTGAATTTTTGTTTAGATCCTTACACAAAAAAGAAGAAGAAAGTTTAAGTTTGTGAATTGTTAATTGTTATTACCTGTTTTACACATTCGAGTTTTGTTGTTTCGTATATTGCGAGTTGGGTCTCGTGTACAACAAGGAAATGGATCTGATCATGATGAAATTGTACACGTGTGTCTGACTGTGCTGTTGGTGTTCTTCCAGGTGGAAGCTGAAGGTATCTTGTCTTTTGCTTCTCCCATCCATCAGAACTCCATACACAAAGCTGAAAAAAGGTAAATTTGTAAATAATATTTACAGTCAAAAATTGGTGGTGTTGAATGTTACATAATACATATACTGACCTGAGCATCTGCCCCGGATGAGACTAAAACATTGAGCACGTGTGAAAATGCAAGACCTGTAATTCTTTTTGAATGCCCTTTCAGCTTGCTTTTTACCTCATCCACACGAACGTTATATATCTGAATCGTTGAATCATCCATTCCAATAGCGATTATATTATTATCTTGTGGATGGAAAGCAAGAAACGTGGCAGCTGGTGGTGGTGGCATGAAAGTTGTCATCGTCTGCAAGTGTTTTAGATTTAATCATTTAATATTTAATAAACTAAAACTCTCAGTCATGTTTTGTTTTGTTTTTTTTCGCAATAAAAAACTTACCTTGAATGTCATCATGTTGAATAAAGAAATCTTTCCACCAGATGCTGACATCACATAAGAATCGTTTTTGGATAATGCAAAACAGGCGACAGATTCTTCTGGGTTGGTTTCTGCCACGTCATTAGTCATCAAAATCCCACTTGAAGGTTGCCATAATTGAGGTGAAACACTTGCGGTTGCCTGCATAGATTTTTTCAATTTAACAACAAAATTTTGATTTAATTTCAATTTTTGAAATGTCAACTAAATTTACTTACCTTGCCACTTGAGTTACGCTCACTTCGTTGCCATTTCCACAGCAAATGTATAGCATTTGATGCTAACGCCAATATAGCGTTACCAGAATTTGTATATATCAATCTTGATATCTGTATAATCAATAAACAATCATGAAAACGAGATTGATTTCTCGTATCAAAACAAGAAAAACGATCATATTTAATAATATATATACCTTTGTTACTCTCATGTTTTCTGGGAGTTTCATCGATCGACACTGGGAAGGTTCGCTTATTTCAGTGAGTTTCCAAATCTTTGATTTGTCGTTCTGTTCTTCAGTGATTCTTGGTTTCACATCTGGCATGCTTCTGGTATCTCCATTCTAAAGCATAAACGAGATTTACAATAAATCATAACAGCATCCAATTTTTACAACCCGATCATAAAACAAACAAACATTCTCTTAAACTGACCATTCCCGAGATAGAACCAACAGAACCAACTCTCTCTGCTATTCCGGCACTGCTGGCGGCGGCGGCGGCGGCAGCGGCAGCAGCAGATATTGTGTTTAAGGTAGGCTGCAGATGATGATAACAAATCGTCAAAATATGCATTAAAAAGAAGTTTCCGATTACATTCTCGTTAGTTTTCAATTACCTTTGCAGGTTCCTGGGCTCTGGAAGCAGCATCATAAGAAAGATTCTCAAAAGTTCGAAGTAAACGAAGACCATCTGAATTCGCTAAAATTTTGATTCCATTTTCGTTGGCGGAAACAGCTAACAGAGTGCCATCTTTGTTAAATCGGATACGTGGGCTCGCCTTCAATTTAGGGTTTGAATGAACGAATCAGATTCTTCGATAATTCTCAAAAAAATGATTTTTTGATAATATGGAAATGAATTGTATTTACTACCGGAAGACCACCGTCAGCCTCCACGCTTGTTAAAAGCTGAACGTTATCCATATCCCAATATTTGATCGAGAAGTCATCACCGGCGGCCAAAAATCGGTTTTTAGTGGTGTCGAACTGCACAACGCCTAAAGATCGTTTACGGAATCCATGATACGTTCTTTTCACAGCTCCTTCACTTTCATTCCATTCCACAATATGCGATTCACCTTCTTTGCTTGTTCCACATGAAAAAAGTCTGAAATATTTGTAAAAATTGATGAGTATTGTGAAAACTGTTTGCTATATTTAGAATACAAGGGTAAAATGATCATATAGTGCAAAACGAATTTGAATATCTTTCAAATATGTAATTGAAGCGTAGTGTTAATTTAAGTAGCTAACCTTGTTCCATCTGCACTATAAGCCATTGTTGTGCACCATCGACCAGGAGCTTCATAATCAACTCGTGATCCCATGTTATCATATAACCATGCTTTTATTTTCCCATCAAGAGCCGTTGAGAATATAAACTAAACCCAAAAAAGACCTAAAATTATAAAGCTTCTAACTTGGTATTTATTAAAACAAAAGAAGTAAAGTTACCTGAATGTTTTCTTTGTAGTGAGGGCATACAGAATAAACAGGAGCATCATGACCTTCAAAAGTGTATTGTTTTGCACCAGTTGCAGCATCAAAGACTTTGATGGTTTTATCATCCCCACAAGTTATCACACAGAGTTGCTTATTTGGATGTGAGAATGCAAGATCGTTTACTCCACCAACATGAGCATCAATCTATAAAGGAAATTATATGTCACTTGATGGTTTTTTGGATGATCATAGTTGGAAAAATGGAAGCAAACGTACCTCTAGATGTTGTCTCACATCATCGCCTCCATGGTATGAATATATTTGTACAATGTGTCGTGAATAAGCAACTCCTGTTTGTATAAAATTATTAAAAAAAAAGATTAATTCTCCATTGAGTTTATATGTTGTGATATGTTTAGTTTGGAAAATAACTTACCAAACAACGAACCATCTGGACTCCAAATTACACGGTTTACAGACACGCCAGGGTCTTTTACAAGAGCAGCCTAAAAAGGGTAAAACCGTAAAATGATAAGATTTTTTTTTTCTCTCCATTAAGTAAAATAGTTGATAAGGCAAAAAGAAACATCCCCTGAATATGCATAAAAATACATACAATACCTGCATAGGCATCGAACATGAACTAAGATCCCAAACTTTGAAATTTTTTAGAACCAATTTTTCTCGCGAACCAACTTCCCACAATCCAATATCACCTACGTTTGTTCCAACTGATGCACCGGATTTATCAAAACCACAAAGTCAGTTGATCTACTAAAGGAAAGAAAGTCAAAGTCAAAGTCAAACACAGTTGACTATCTACCTAAAAGCAATGTTTGTTGTATAGGATGGAAATCCATGCTCATAGGAGATGAACCCTGGTTGAGAGTTCTTGCAACAGTCTTGGGCAAATCATCAGATGCAGATGAAGATACAGATACAGATGCATTAAAAGGCTGTTGAGTATGACTGCTGCCATGCCCCTGGAATGACACGGGTAGCACGTTGACCGGAAGGTTGACTTCATCTGTTATCCCCATTGGCCTTGTCCTTTTGCTCACATGGTCAGAATCCCCAGATGGGAAATCCAATGAAGGGTTTGTTGGTGGTGTTCTTGGATGCTTTAAAGCAGCTGTACATTTAATAAAATTACAACTCTAGTCTAGTCTAATAATTATTAATTACATGGTGTTTTTAGATTTATAATATACTAAAATAACCTGGCATAGATGGACCACCAAGACCAATTCCACTTCCGGAAACAGCAGGGTGAGATACTGCAGGTGGGTTTGGGTTTGGGTTTGACATCCAACCCGCAAGAGGAGCTGGAACCGGAGCTTGTGTAGGTTGAAAGGGCTAAAAATATTTATATATATATATACACAACACACTAATTAATCAAAAAGTTTTGAATCATTTTATAATGAAATGAAAATTAATACAAACCCCGTGTGCGCCCAAAGGAGGAAAGCCTCCGGCTTTTGGCAATGACCCGAGTAGTGGATTGTTTGCGGGTGATGGA